TCTGTAGGTTTAAGTGTTAAAGTCATATTGCTTTATAAGTGACCTCTTATGTTCTAACATGGAACAGGAGGCAAAGCATTGTGGAAGTGGAGATAGGAAAGTTGTTCCATGAGCTTTACTTAAGATAGGGAATCACTGATTTTTAATAATATAAAGCATGGGATAGTGGTGGTGAGCAGAGGACTATCTTCACACATCTCCCAGCAACCCAGTAAGGTGGCTCAGAGAAGGAAGGAATGTGCTCTGAGGGACCCTATGATTATGAAAGACTTCCAGGAGAACTAGTACCTCCTCCATGTCACCCCAATGGTGGCTACCATATAGTAGTTAGTGTTGTGCCACAGGAACCACCACTGCTAGACAAACCTGGTAAAGGAAGCTAAGTAGACATTACAGTCATGTTGACTACTGAGTAATGATGAGGATCACAGGTTTTCTCATGATCAAAGAAGTTGTCCATCTCACAGAGGAGATGAAACTGCCTATATGTGGAGATGAGCACTATGTTGAAAAACCCAAGCCTTTCACTATAGAATATGACACTTGTTAAGACTTTGGAAACTTTTTTAGAAGGTTTAATGCTGAGTCAAAAAAATAAAATGAAAATGTTTCTAGATTTCCCCCCTCCCCAATTGTTTAAATCCTTAATATATGGAATTTTTGTAATAAAAAGAAATATTTTATGCTAGCTTACCACATTTCCAGTATCAAATAAGCATTGAAAACAGTCTGTTTAAAATATTTAAATTAGAAGTTTCTTGTTTTGGATTTTCTTTGTTTATGGTTTTTTTTGGGGGGAGAGGGTGGATTCATGTAGAGCCTAATCTATACCCTATACCCATCTCTCATCCTCAGCCTCCACCCAAATGATGGTTAATTAAATTTTTAAGCTTAGACAAAGCAGTCCTAGGACTGCTTTGGGTGCAGTCCTCTGTACTTCTATCCCATAGTCTTGCACTTGGTCACATGAGTGTAATTTACAGATTAGAGATCATTTCCCTCAAACATTACTAGTCTTTTTGCATTTCATAGTGAAGATACCATGTGGAAATGTTGGAATGCTGAGTTGTAGTTTTATTGACTTGTGCTTGGCTTCCTTAGGCTTTGTAACTTTCATGTCAATGTGTTCTATCCTGAGTACTTAAGTATCTTAGAGAAGATTTGTTTTGAGAATATGTCTCAATGAAAAAATAGAGACACCTTAGAATAAAATCTTTCTTTCCAAGTAAATAAACTCAATGTGTCTCTTCCAAAATGCTCCTGAAACTTTTGACTACTCTCACTGCTGGGTAGTCTTCAACAGTATCATAAACAAGACTAAAAGAAG